CCCCGTTCGACGGGGCTACTCGGGACACTCTTTTTTTGCTTCTGGCACCTTACGAATAGCATATGGAATTTTTTTGGAGAAGCCATGTGATAGCCCTTGCAAAGAGCTTTGAAATGAGCCTAAACTTGTTTACGAAATGTTTCATTGTAAGAAGTTATGAATGAAAAACATTCAAAATCGTCCCGAGTAGCCCCGGTTGACGGTACTCGTTTACAGCTCTGAACGGCCTTTATACTCTTTTATTTTTTACCAGTTCAGTAAATCTGTTCGAGTTCATAGGTACAATTATCAACAAAATCAGTTAGTTTCACTGTTCTATGATCATCCCAATCTTGTTTGGTGTTAAGGCAGATGCGCCTGAACTATTGATTTCTTTTTCATCAATAACAATTGCCATTATTGAACTATTGAGTTCGTTACCATCAACAATAGTTGCCATTATTAAACTATTAAGTTCGTTACCATCAATAACAATTACCGTTATTGAATTAGTTACCATAAATAGCAATTACCATTATTGAACTATTGAGTTCGTTACCATCAATAACAATTACCTTTATTGAACTATTGAGTTCGTTACCATCAATAACAATTACCNTACTCCACACATTGTTGCCTGAGATCGCTTGTTTGTGCCCGAGCTTTGTATGTACTCCACACATTAATTGTTGCCTGAGGTTGTTGCCTTGATGCCCCTGAACTTTCTACTTTCAAGATGATGCTAGATTTTGAAGGTTATCTACTATTAAGCCTAATCAATTATTCTTGTATTGTCTTTCTTGTTTCTTTCTAAATTCTCAGTTATTGAGACATTTAATTGCTTCTCACCATATTGTTTTTATTTTGTTAATATTTGCTAACATTGCTATAACTTATATTAATGCTCATGTAGCTATCCCAATTTCAAGTTGAAAACCCTGTGCTGCTGTTCATTTGGTGGTCACTGACCCGCTGGCCATGATCGCTAATAGAGCGATCATTGAACAACAATGCGCGTAGGTACATTGCTTCACTACCAAGTGTTACGTATACGTCTATTGCTTCAGTACTGTTTCGTAATATCGTCAAGCTCGTGTAAAGACAATCGTATCGAATTGTCTCCTCTAAACTATCTTGTCATATGATGTTTTTACCGTTTTAAATATTTGATTCAATTATCTCTAATTAAAGATGTTACGTTAATTTTAAGTTATTCATGTTGGGATGGGCTTAAAATGTGGCAATAATTTCATCTAAGCTAACACAATAAACTGATAGTCCAGACAGCATTTTGAATTTAATAATTGTGTATGTGTTGTGTGACGAATGAGCGTATGGCCTGAATGGTAATAATGGGTTCTAGGTCAGTATTTAAGCAAAGATGTGAAGAGGTAAAAAATTAAAAACTTCAGACTACAAACGTGTCTCGGAGCACCTTCCCACCAATATATTCTTTCAACGTTTACCAACGTGTGCTGTGTTGAAATAGTCTAAGTTTTTACAAACCTTTTAGTTGTTCATTACTTTTTTCAAAGTTTTTTTTATTGTGTTTCAGATAAGTGATTCAAAGTTACTCAAATGGATTTTTTATCTACACTCGCGTCAAAACACAGCGGAAAATCGTGCGCTGCATTAGACAGCGGTCGAACGAATTCCGATGACTTCGCAACTAATGTACAAGCAGAAGCAACATTAAAGAATGCTGATTTACTAAAAAATGTAAATAGGGTACTCTATAAAATGTAAATACTCTATAAATAAATATATATACTCATGTAAATACTCTATAAATAAATATATATACTCATGTAAATACTCTATAAAATTGTAGTTATTATATTTTGTTTACATAAAAGCAAGTGTATCGTGCTTCTATTTATTGCCTGATACCTCAGGAAGGAAAGCTGCCATGACGAGCAATGCTTGGCTATACAATTCTCGTCGTGGGCAGCTGTCAACTCCCGGCTAAAATTATCGAGGAAAAACTCTTGCGTACGTGCGTGGTCAACCAAACTCTGTGCCTCCATTTTACTATTTAATATAACGGATTTGCATTATCGAAATTGATCTTTTTTTTGGTAATTGTACCATGCTCTGGCTTACAACAAAGAATTAACTTGTTTAATTGCAGACGAAAAAGTGTCACAAGAGTAGAAGCAAAACTGTTTTCATGGAATACAATGTCGTCTCATGATTGGTTGGACAATGGGAAAAACTAGCCAGACATTGTTTCCTACTGCAGCTCGTTTTAAATAATGATACATTTAAAGTATGTTTCGTGCCATCTCAATGACCTGCATCGTCTCTATGTCAAATATCAAACTTTTGATTGTGCCTAGCTGTTGAGGGAAGAAATTCATTTAAATCTAGTTATCGTCTCTGGATTTTATAACAAAATGCACTATGTTAATCGTTTGTCTTTAAACAAAAAACACTTTTAAATTAACGAAAAAACCGCATGTTTTTTGTTCATTTAATTCAAACTTATAACAGTTTACAACGATTTTTTCTATCCATGCCGCACTAAGCAGAAAACCCTTTCTCAGAAAAGTTTAACAAATTTTCTCGCCATGAGTCTGAATCTTTCAATATCTCTAATTCTCTAGGTATTGTCATCTGTATTTTCATTTTTTTGTGTGTATGTTATAAATAGGAATATTTAATTCGTTCCATTCTAATTCGTAACAAAGGTCAAATCTAACTGGCTATTTTAATGCTTCCACGATTCACTAATAAGTATTATTATAATAATAATGATTATTATTGTGATAATAATTCACGATTCCACAACAGCTCCTACGATTCACTGATACGACATATGAGAGAGGTTCGTGCCTGTCACTCCGTGGTAATGTATATACCTGGAGTGTGCGATAAACTAGTGTAGATAAATTAATATCTCGAGTGCCCACGAGATAAGTTCTAATGAAATCATCGCTCAACATAGACCTGATCTCGTCGACGGTATTTACGTTCCTTAGTATCCTTAGTGTTTGTTTGGGACATAGCAGTCCCAGGCCACTATGGATCGCCGCCTCTGATTATCGTTCATCCGCCCTCATTTGGGCCAGCTGATGCACGATGCTGTTGCTTGCTTCTCGCCGCTGGTAGTGTTGCAGGGCTGGTCGATCAGGGATTGTTCCCAGGAACACGTCTAGTTGTCTCTTGAAGGTCTCCAGGGTGAACTCCCCTAATAAGATCCTTTATTAGGACATTAAACAGCCTCGGCCCTGCCACAGAAAGTGATTCTTCCCGCAAGGATTGAAATCTGATTGCAGATCTGTTACGTAGTGGAGGGATCTTGCATAGTCTCGCCCTTCTCTCGTTGTCTCAATTCTGAAGGCCTCGTTCTCGAAGATTGGTTCCATTCCGGTTATCATTTTCCATGCATACAGAATGACATATACCTCTCCCGTCTTCTCTGTAGTAAATACAGACCCATGCAGGCGCTTCAACCTCTCCCAGTAGTTCAACTCTTCCATCTCTCTGATCCTGGAAGTGAAGGTTCGCTGGACACTTTCCAGTTGCCGCACTGCGCCGAGTGTGAACGGGGTCCAGAGCTGGCAGCAGTATTCGAGAATTGGTATTACAAGGGCTCAAAAGAGTGTGATCTTCGGTTCCGCTTCTCTTGTTCTAAACGTAGTACGCCAGATCCACCCCATCTGTCGCCTACCTCTTGCGGTTATTGCCGTTACGTGATCACCAAAATTGACCTATGTATTTGGTCAACACTCCTAGATCACGATCAAGTTATTTCTCTTCGATTTCCGAGTTGTCAGGTGCTAGGTATGCGGTGCTCCATACCAGCTCTTCCGCTATCTCTGTATCTCAAAACCTCAAACTTGGTCCCGTTGAACTGCATGTTGTTCACTTGGGCCCAGTCATATATTGCAGAGAGGTCTTCTTGCAACCTCTCGCAGTCCCTCCTGCATGTCTGTTATGGTCATTAGCATCCTGGTGTCGTCCGCGAATGATGATGCAGTGGCGTGGTTCACTGCCATATCTATGTCGGCGATGTGGATGAGGAAGAGGATTGGGCCGAGTACCGTTCCCTGTGGTGTTCCACTCTTCACCCTATAGCCTCACTCGATCTCGAGCCTCCTACAACGACAGCTTGTAGTCTTTCTGTTAGGAAGCTGTGGATCCATGCCAGCAATTCACCTCCGACCCTAGTAGTCTCAATTTTCTGAAGAGCACTCCATGGTCAACTTTGTCAAACGCTTTCGTGACTGCTCTAAATATTTATGTTTGGTGATCTTTAAATTTTTGACTGGCATTCATTTCCTCAAAATCGTCAGCGGTGGAGAATTTCATTGCATCTATCTGTAAATCACCACATGGAATGCCCTCGCGCCATTGTTATATTTTTGTATCGAATGAAATAGTTACAATCTGTCACCTGATTGTTTGTTGTCATTCATTGTTATATTTTGTGTCTGATCCATCACCATCAATCCATTATCATGTTTATTTGTGCATTTTAGTCGCTCATATATTTAAAATTGTCTTCATTGAGACCTTGCCGATGTCAACCGTGATTCGAACACCCGATAAAAATCAATTTAGTCCCCATATAGCAGTGTCCTCACTCGTATCAGTATTATAGCCTGGATGTGTCGCACACGAACTCCTCTAAGGCTCCGTTCTGCGTGTTTTTATCCGCAACCAATTTAATCCTCAATATCGTTAATATCTTTAGTAGGTATTTATATGATTTGCAACAATTTAGTCCTAAATATCGTTAATATCTTTAGTATATATATACTGTATATACATTTAGGACGTAGCCAAGGCCACACTGGAGTCGTATCAGAATTACAAGAGCCTATCAATCTTATGTGTGACGTGCCCTCGAAGTTCATTTGAATCAGGCGCCACGATAAATACTTCGTAGAATAATAATAATAATAATTAATATGTCGCGTGCAGGCGCCCAGCCGACAACCAGACGCCACTATAAATGCTTTATAGAATAATAATAATAATAATATTAATAATAATAGTTAACATGTGGCGTGCAGGCGCGCAGCCGTTCTCCCGGAAGCACCCGCTGGCCAACTGGGTGTCATGCATGCTAACCATCTTCGCGGGGGGCATCCTGACGAGCCTCCTGCTGGGGGAGCCTGCCTTGGGAGTCTTCAAGAACAACCAGCAGCTCATGCTTGCCACCGCCGTCTGGTGCGTGTAACTTAATTAACCTATGTGTACATAAGAAATTACTTTATGCTGCTAATGATATATTTACCGGTACTTTATTATGTGTTTATCATGACCAGGAGTCTGTTCGTATTAGTCTCTCTATTATTGATATTCCACTAGAAATGAAATTTCATTGTGTGGTTTAATTTGTACACATACCCGTCACTGACGTGAGGTGCATTATCCGACCTTCTACTGATATTTAATTGAATTGATGCCCTTTCTGTCCTATACGCATGCCCTGGAACCGTCTTATTTGAATACATTTGTGATAGTAACAGTTTGAACGCAGGATCGACAATGTCACTCCTAAAATAAAATAAAAATGATAATAAAAAATGTGCCTCAATTTTTACTAGTAACCTTCACTTACAATTCTAATAATTATGTGATTTCGGGTGCTCACTAACCTTGACATTTTTATTTTATTATTTTAATTTTGCTCCTCATTCAGAGCCTGATCAACGTATTACTCACTTACTATAGAGCCTAATCAACGTATTACTCACTTACCATAGAGCCTAATCAACGTATTATACTCATTTACTATAGAGCCTAATCAACGTATTAAACGCCTGCTAAGTTAAGTTAGTCTTATAATAATATGCCATTATACTTCCTATTTCGTGATCAGTTCTGTGCACAATAATAACAAGAACACGTGACCTATTACTGCTGCAGGTACGTCATTTACTACTCGCCTTTTGACGTGGGCTACCACATCGCCAAGTGCCTTCCTCTTAAAGTCGTCCTCGCTGCCATGAAGGAAGTTTATCGGTCAGTATCCTTCCTGTGTGTCATCCTATTGTATACTGCTCTGGTATCCTTCCCTGGTGCTCTCCATCCGTATCCTCTATTTGTCTCCACCATCTGTATCCTCTATTTGTCTCCTCTTGTTATTGTATCCCTGACTGGTATAACCTATTTATATCCTCCACTATATCCTCCAGTTTTATGACTCACTTGTATCCTCCACATCTCCCACTCATGAAGCGGAAAGTGTTCTCTGGCTTGCATGCTATATGATCTTGTGTCTTTTCCTTAGTTTACGTTATCTGTGCTTGAAGGTTCAGGCATTTATTGTCTGATTTTCCTCTACTCCTCTTTGGCTTTATCCTTCCTTTCCTCTAACTTGTACAATTTCATCGATTATATGAATTTTATGGGACAAATGGTATATTTTAATGTAGGTACCTATCTTGCCACTTTGATATATAGGTACCTATTTACAAGTCCCAGCCTATGAAAAGGCCTTGGACTAATTTTTGCTTACATATCATTTGTTTTTATCGCGATAAAAAGGATAAGAATTAATTGCCTACACAACTTTTGTTTTTTCAATATTAAAACTTCCATCAAACAATCATGAGTACCGTATCATACGTTTATTCATGATTTCTGCGACAATATTTCACACAATTTGTAACTATATTATACAAGAATATAGTTTCTTGCTGTTATCAGAGTGAAGAAAATCAACAATATAACACAATTTGTAACTCTATTATGAAAGAATAAAGTTTATTGATGTTATCAGAGTGAAGAAAATCAACAATATGATACAATTTGTAACTGTATTATGAAAGAATATAGTTTATTGATGTTATCAGAGTGAAGAAAATCAACGATGGCGTGGGCCACGTTGCTAAGCTCTACCCTAACGGTTACGTCATCATGATCATCGTGGGCACCCTCAAGGGTGAGGATGGGGGGACTTTGATATATCAGTACTATGCTTATCAACTCAGTTATTCGGTCAAAACAAATATAGACAAAACCTCTGCTATATGTATTTAATTTTACTAGCTCGTTTTTCATATCTCGCTGTTGTCCATGTTGACTGAGAAGCTCATTGAAGCGTTGCGTGGACTTACTTAAGAGTCCCAGTGTTTTCGTCTGCAGGAAATGTGTTGTTAAAACGAATGTATTGCATTATTTCCGTGTAAACTGAATGTTTCGTAAAGGTGTTGCTTGTACTTACTAGTACATGCGACTGTCCCAGGTGTAACGCTCCTGTATAGCGTATATTACTAAAGGTGTTGCTTGTACTTATATATACTAGTACATGCGACTGTCCCAGATATACCGCTCCTGTATAGCGTAAATTACTAAAGGTGTTGCTTGTACTTATATATACTAGTACATGCGACTGTCCCAGATATACCGCTCCTGTATAGCGTAAATTACTAAAGGTGTTGCTTGTACTTATATATACTAGTACATGCGACTGTCCCAGATATAACGCTCCTGTATAGCGTAAATTACTAAAGGTGTTGCTTCTACTTATATATACTAGTACACGCGACTGTCCCAGATATACCGCTCCTGTATAGCGTAAATTACGAAGTTGGCAACCGTTCTCATTCAGCCGCTAATGCCGTGAAGCTCTCGAGTCGACAACAACAAGGCTTCAGTCCTTAATATTAAGAAAGGAAGAAAATGAACATATTTTTGTAAAGCTGTTTTTTTATTTTGCTTTATCTTCTATCGAAAGAGTTTGTTAAAATTTTCCTTGATTGTACCAATCATGAATAAATCATTACTCTGAGTTGGTCTAGATTCGGTTAGTTGCACTGAAGCTTGTTTGTGAGGTCTTGTTGAGAATTTGTGCCGCAGTACAAAGTTGGTACGAAACCCACGTTTAAATCTAATAACATATTTACTGTTCTCACGAGCGTAACGTCGACATACTGTACAACGGTATATATTGGTGGAGACTTATGACCTATTACTGAAATTTAGTATCGTAAGCAAGACAGGACCGAACACAATAATAAATATTATTGATGTCGTTGAGCATCACGTATTTCTATGATTTTTGGCCATAATAGCTCTGTAATAAAACATGATCTGAACACGAGAATGTGTTAACATGTTTATATAATGTCGATAAATCAAGTCTGTGCTGAACCTGTCAAAAACGTTGGGAATTTAAGAATCGAAATATTATTTGAAAAAATCAATCATTTTAACCAGTTTGAGAAATTAGTACTTGAACTTACAAAACAGGAATCAAATGAGTGGTATTGAACCGTAATGCGGGCGCTATATTTCTGACAAATCAAAGATTGTTTTGGGCTTGCTGCTACGTCTGCAATGCTTGCGATAATAAAGTATTTCGTTCCTCTCCTTGAAGCGCTGCGTCGTACTAATGCTACATCAAACAAATCCTGCTGACATTTATCATTGTTCAATATATGTTTCATATTGAATCAATGCTTCTTTTTCGCCCTAGACTTTACATGTATAAACTTTACACGCATCAACTCAACACTTTTAACCTCTACACAAATAAAATCTAAACATACATTAAACACTTATAAAATTTACACTTGAAAAAATAACATGTATAAACTGCACGTATAAACAAGTACCTATAAACTGCACATATAATCAACAAGTATAAACTGCACGTATAAACAAAAAATATAAACTGCCCGTATAAACAAAAAGTATAAACTGCACGTGAAAAGATCATGTAAAAACTGCCCGTATAAACAACGTGTATAAACTGCACGTATAAACCCCACCGTATAATCTTTACAATAGTTAATACGTTTACTCTTGTCTCCACGGCGCCCCCCAGGCAACGGCTCGGGGTTCATGAAGATCCTGGAGCGTCTCTCCCGCGGCGTCTGGACCCCCACGGCCGTAGAGTTCATGCAGCCTGGCTTGTGAGTGACGAATAGGCTTGTATATTTCTGAATAATAGGTCTATATTGATGCTTATTATTAGTGCTTCAATGTAGGCGACACTCGCGACCTCAGTTTTAGTGAAGGTCAGGTCTAAAACGATATTTATTTCCTGTGTTTCTTTATCGGCTACATTCATTATCTAAATATCACGTAAATTTTTTAAAATCACTCTCAACCCTTACTCTTTACCCTCACTCTCTACCCTTACTCTCTACCCTCACTCTCAACCCTCACTCTTTACCCTCACTCTCTACCCTAACGCTATATACACGCTACCTTTTTTCCCCTTTGCTCGACCCTCAATGTTAGTGAATTTACCCTCATCCTTCTTTCACTCTCTCGTTCTACACTAATTCTACCCTCACTTTATTCAACGCTCGCTCCCCTCACGCTATTCTATCATCACTATACCCTCACGCCAATGAGGGTGAACTCGCCTATATTACTCGGGCACTGATCTCACGCTATTCTACCATCAATATACCCTCACGCTACCATCACTCCATTCTCACTCTACCCTCGGCAGCGCCACGAAGGCCTCGATCGCGGCGTCGCTGCTGTTCGTGCTCGACAGCAAGACTGACCTCATCTCCGCCCCCCACGCCCTCGTCTACTTCGCCGTCTGCATCTTCTTCGTCTACTTCAAGGTATGCGCGCGTCTTCGTCTACTTCAAGGTATGCGCGCGTCTTCGTCTACTTCAAGGTGTTCGCGTGTCTTCATCTACTTCAAGGTATGCGTTACTAGACGCATGGTAATTAGAGTTACCTTCAGTAGACCTACAGAAGACAAAGGGTTAAGCTTACATCAAAACCCAGAGAAGACATTTAGCTTATAATGAGTACAGTCTTTCCATAAAATATTAGCTTCAAAGACATGCGTCTTTTTGTGTCTAAGACCACTAAACATAAGACTGTGTGTGCTTCCAGTGCTCCATTTTACGTCAATTTTTTGGCGCTCGTTCAAAGGTTTTCTTGAAATGTAGGAACATCTGTTGTACCTTATTAAACTGAGCTCTAGGTTCACGGCAAGAAGATGTCTTTGATATGATATAAAGTTTAAAGTGGCGCGATATCAGCGTAATATTTCAGTATTCAGCTAAAGTTGCAGCTGCAACGATTCGTCAGTTGATATCAGATTTAGTTGCCGCTCGATCGAAGGGCCTTCCCGTGAGCCATTTTCATTCATAACTTGTAGTATAAAGTACGCAACCGCGAGTTGCTCCACTATATAAATGCAAAATTCTATTCAATTCTATTAAATTCTATATTTTATTATTCACTCCATAAACGGCGATGCCGAAAATGTAGATTGCAATTCGAAACGATGTTAATAAATTTACCACCGAAAACGATAATAATAAATCACATATATATACTGTATATGTTATCTCAAGACGATCTTCTATATGCACTTCATAATATAACATCTTCACCTACGCAAGTTAAGGTGCAAGTCACCCCCCATGACTGAACGATGTTTGTACTGGGCAGCTATCGTCTATTCTGCTGGGTATCCACGACCCCTTCCTGCCGTTCGAGAACCTCTTCTGCGCGATATTCATGGGGGGCGTTTGGGACTCCCTGTCCCGCACCCTCGGGGGGTCTAAAGGGGGAGCCTCGGGCACTGACAAGCAAGGCGACGCTCCCAAAAACGGCAAGAACAAACGGGAGTGACGTGCTGGCCATGCATTTTAACTTTGACGATCGCCTGAACTTATTATTTCATCTAAACTTGCACATGCATCCCTCCTCCCTTTGGTCAACAGCCTCAACTAATGAATCATCAACCGGTTTTATCCCCTGATTTAAAATACAGAACTGGAGAAAATTTTAAATTTTTGCACTTTTAAATTTTATGTCCGTAAAGTACGATTAACGGGAGAAAGTTTTATTCCGGTTAATTTTTAAATTATGATGAAGTGTTTGGAATCATGTTATCCATCTTTGTTTATTTCAAGATACTTTGAGCCTCTGAACCCATGTTGATATTAATTATCCACAAGAATTATTGAGTCTAATGGACAGTTTATTTTGTGAGATTCATTGGTGAGGTGTGACTCAGCGTGACAATTATTATTTAATTGTTATTTCCTCTAATACCGAGTGACGTAGTCCCGTAGTTGACTCAAATCGTGGATCACAAATTGGCTATCGTATGGTAATCCTAAACTTTTTATTTGCTAGAGACCGTTTGTGTGCAGTAGCCTTGTTAACGAAATTGTCGGTGGGAAACGCTGGCCGAGCGAAGGAACCGTTGTCAGTGTACAGTCATGAAATAAAATGGTTGTGAAATTCGGAAAAAGAAAATAATAGATCTATTTAAACGTAAGATTTAGGTAAGGAATGATGGAAGAACTTTTTCTAGAACTTGAAACCTTCCAAGTATAAACTACTGATTGATTATTTTTTTAAAGTAATCTAAAGTTTTTAAAATTCAAAGCATTAAAAAATTTTAGGAGCAAATTTGCAATTTTTGTATATTTTTCCTCTAAACGTTGCTCATGCAGCGATGATTAATGAACGATTTTTGCCTATAAATTTCAATTTTAGCATTTTGATTGAGTTATGAAAATGATGAGGTTTTGAAAATGAATTTTTTTAAATGTGACGCTCAAACGAACCTATTTGAAGCAACAGCTTTACCCCCTAAATTAATAATAATGATGCTATTTATATAATAAATATTTCAGCAAAATCCAATAACAGTAGGCGATTCTCTAGATACCTAGCGATAATTTCTGCAAAGTTTTTTTTTATATTTTTGCCTGGAAGAAGCGTTGCTAACAGTTCTCTCTCATTCGTCGTTACTGACGGTCGCCTTGGCTGGCTGACTGAACTTGTTAAAGCTCGGTAAGTTGTTGTGCATTTAATTTATTATTTTAGTGATTGATTTGCTTCAGGAAATCTACAACGAAAAAGGCTCTATACAGGCTTAATTTTTAGAGTTTGTTAATGAGTTTCTTATTAATGATTATCGTTTCATAAGAATTTTTGTTTGTTAATGAATTTCTTATTAATGATTATCGTTTCGTTATAATTTTTGTTGTGAGGATTGACGCATTTAACATGCCTCACCTTCTTAACATTTTCCTGCCACATTTTTTTGTCTTACTTATCGCAACGTGACACTCCACCCTGATTTGTTGTAACTGTCGATTGCTATTCAATTTTCCCAGCTTCTATTTCACTTTCATTTGCAACCATACAAAATATTTCAAGCAATTCGTTGTCATCTACATCGTTCAACTTTTGCTTGATTTATTAATGGCGCGTTCCTGTAATAATTATTAATGGCGCGTTGCTGTAATAATTATTAATGGCGCGTTCCTGTAATAATTATTAATGGCGCGTTGCTGTAATAATTATTAATGGCGCGTTGCTGTAATAATTATTAATGGCGCGTTGCTGTAATAATTATTATAACCGACGGCGCTGTTCTTGCTCAGGAGTTTTTTATTTTTTTAAATATATCTTTATATTCCGTTATTTCTTATGCTCGACTAGTCTTTTATTTTAAGATCATTTTTGAGCCAGTCCACAAAAATCTAGTACTGTACTCTTACTTCCTTGATATTGATGATGCGATTAAAACATTTCTCGTTGAACTCTGTTGTCTATTTAAGAGGGAAACTCTAGTAGCTATTTTGCGCATTTTTTTTGTCATTCTTCCAAAATTTGTGCATTTGGATAAACTGATTAGAGATCTTCATTTCAAAAATTTCAATTGGAATCATTTTATGTATGTGACATTCTGCACAATCACGCATATATAATGTGCTGTTAAGTCTTACTTGTTTTTAGGATCATTTTTTTTCCTAACTACGTTCCGTGCGACCTCTAAAGCAGCTCCTTTGCATGAATGAGAACGCTAGTTTATTTCGCAGTGTTTTGCATGGGCGACCATTCCATATTCGCCAAACAGATTGTATTTTCTGAATTTCCACATAATTGATTAAGAGCCCTCCGACAAGTCTATAACAACACATGGAGGTTGTTCAGTTGAGATGAGAGTTATTAATGTTGTACCAGTTTGTCGTGCTCGTATAGTGCTGATACATAATGATGTCTGCATCATCACAATGCATTCCTGAAATTTATGGCATCATCAATCTCATCTTATAACATCTTAGTACTGCGACATTTTCAACACCAACGATAGTGAGATGAATTTTAATACCGGATTAGGCATTGTGTTAAGCCATAACGGAATGCATTTATACCTGCTTCACTAACTGGTTGCAGATGCTATATCTTCTTTTCATTACTTTTATTCCGTGCATGATTCAGAATCCCTCTCACTAAACGTGTTCCAGGCTACACGTCTGATAGTTAGAACTCGGTGTGGTCTTGATATTGCATTTATTAGCAGAAGTTTAACTTAAATTTAGTGGCATCCGCCTTGTCGCAATTTTATAATCATTTTTATTTAACTTGGTTTTTCTGCGTAACACCGTATGAATAGAGACAATTCTAGAGCATTTTTTATTTATAACTGCCCTACGGTCCATAAACCATTACAGTTTCTTAGTACGATTTAATTTTAAACTAACATCGCAACTGTCTAGTTTCAGAAAATGTATGAAGACATATAGTATTAAGCTCTTAGTTTCCTGTGTGTGTGGCACTAGCTGTCTATAATAAGATGCAGTAGCCTTTACTATCTTTAATTTAGAACGTCAGACACGAGAAGCTCTGAGGTGAGACAGCGAGTTTGTTTGACAAGCGTGAGCCTTATTCCTTGTGATGTTATTTTGCTAGTACACTCAACAGCTTTTGTCACTTCAAGTTATCCACGTGCAGCTTTTGTTTCACTAAAAAATATTACGATATCGTCTTTCCATCAGCAGATCATTAATCAAGGTTCCAACCAAGTTCATTGTCCTGGAAATGTCCTGCGTGGCAAAATGTTTAGTAATAATACTGATTAAAGCTTGTATTTACTTAATCATGTGCGAGTTGTTTGTTTACTGCGTGTGGGTGGTGTTTTTTAAGTTATCCTGCGTGAAACATTTGTGTGGCTGAAGTGCAATGTTATTCATAGGCTGATAACGTAAGACTTTTTTTATTCTTAAGCTGAGTTTTTATTAAGGATCGAAATAAGTGTAATTGGAATAATTCATCGGCCTATCGTCATACAGGTTTTGGATCCACTAACATCATTCGCCATCTTCAATTGCACTGATTGAAGAACTTACGGTGACCGTTAGAGTTTTTGAGAATATAACCAATAGTTTGTGTAGATGCGAGACTAAAGTAGCTAGTGAAATAAGACAGTATTGAGACATGGAGTAATTGGTTTTGAGTGTGAATTTAAACTTAAGAGTGGAAGTAACTCCAGGTTTCAGGGTATAGTACTTCATGTTTATATTATTGTTTTCTGATAATATCAGTGTATTTATTACAACTGCAGTAATTACATCAGTGTTTGTGTAACAGATATATTACTCAATATAATTTCATTCGTGCAAATAAATTGGTTAGCTATTGATCGCATACAAGTGTCATAACATTTGGATTACTGCCTCACCATATCTTAGGCTTTCTATTCGCTTTACTTTCATAAAAATGTATCAAGAGAACCCAATTCCTCCTCACATTGATATTTCCTTCATTAATAATAATAATAATAATACCTTCTATGGTGAACAGGTTAGCCCATGTGCCGGCCGTGGAGTCTGTCAGGGACTTCTTCGAGGATATCTTCTATTTCTTTCTAAAATCTCGATGAAGTGTCATGTGATTCTTCGAACTCAATGCAACAACCTTCTATGGTAACTTATCTTCCGTAGTAATTCGCTGGTTAGAATTCTTACATTTCTTTCACTCCAGCCTTTACTTCACTTAGTAGGAGTTGATAATTTCAGAATCTGTATGATATTTTAATCAATGAACTGCAAAGTTGGATGAAGAACACACATCGTCATGATTTTTATAGGACCATTGCGAATACAGATGTCGGGGGTGTCCAGTCTAAGTAAATCACTGTAAATGGAGATGTATGGACGTTTTTTTTGCCTGTTTCTTTCTAAATTAATTCGCAAAAAATAAATGAATTTTAATACGATTGCGTCTCAATCTTATTTTTTAATGAAAGCTCTACGTTGTTAATCTAATAATAAAAGTGATGGAAAGGCGGGTGTGTGAATGTTAGTTGTTGATAAGCATTTATAACGCAATGCAATGCAACACGCAATGGATGCAAGCAAAATACCTAGCTTGATACAAAGCAGCTAACTCGTGTATTTTCTCAAGCACGCCATCAACATTTCTAGTCATTGTGAAAAACGATCGCCACAACCAAATGTAAAATAAATAATGCATTATGAGGAATTATTTATTATCGAAAGGATTTATATACTCCAATGAGCAGCAACCTGGTCTCCAACCGTTTTTAAACTCTTAGTATCCTCACTGGTCGAAAAAAGGCTCATTTCTTCTATAGGAAAACATTGAAAATGCAAATATTATGCAAGTTGTTAATTCGAGTCAAACTGTATTTTAAAAAATTCCTAATAAAAAGATAGTGATGAGAAGTGTCTTTCTTTCCTATTGCCTCTGCTGCCTTGACAAGTCGCAAACTGAATATCAACTAAAATTAGCTGATAACAATCCAACGATCACGATCAATATATATATTATATGAATAACAGATAACGAAACTGGACAGCACCACCACAAAAAATCACACTACACAACCTGGAAATAATCTTTATCGCAACATATTTGTAGTTTCGATCTCCACTTGGGATGCTATGACAACTGATGATGAAACTTCTTCAGTAAACAGTACTCAGGGGTGAAAATCCAACGTAGACTAATCCCAACTAAATTCTGAGAGCAAAATACAAAAATTGATCGTGTGAATGTCTTATTTTTACAATCGTTTACTTTTTTGACGATGGTAAGATTTTCGTCAGCTTGCTGAACGCATCAAGAGCCAACGACAGCGCGACTAACAGGATTTTCCTTTCCGTTGAAGGGCTTGCCTCTTGTTCACACCCTTAACCTGCGAGCTTCTTATGAAGTTATTATTCTGACTTGCCGTAGGCATCGAGTGCCATGAAATGTGTGCGGATGCTGGGGTTTTTTATGTCACCGCCGTGTAGGGTGAAGCTCACGTTACCTCCAGCTGTTCTACACAGAGACTCAAACCGACGACACTCGTTGCCGATCCACGGACGGGTGGCGTCGTGCATCTGACGAGTAGACAGATTTCTACATCATAGTTTCGTCAATACTGGAACGTAATCTAGTATAAAAACGAAAATCACTGCAAATTCATTTCTCTAAGCAACAAGCTTCATTTCAAGCGAGACAGGAAGATAGAAAAAATCCTTCAAAATAAATTTTTAGGGACTAGTTACATAAAATATAGGTTTTCGTAGTTTAGGATAGACACATACCGATTATTTCTAAGCGATAATTGATAATTTCTTCATGAAAAACTAGATTTACCGTAAATAGAGCCTTTCTATCGATTAGAAATGAATGTATGAAACGAAATTTTCTTCAACACAATCAACTGGATCTCGAATTCAACATCATAAATCTATCAATAAATAAATCCACATTATAATCTATCATTAAATTTACTTTGGGGTTCTAATTTTGCCTATTTGTTGCAGACATAAAAACTTATTTGATGCAATCATGAATGATGCTAACACAGAGAAACTTCTTAAGAAGGCGGTAGGTAATATACCTGATACGGAGTGACGTGAATCGTAACCAAAAGTTGAGGCAGGAAAGCAAGAAGTTTCTTCAGGAAGTTAGGGTTGGTGATCCACGCTCCCTCTCTGCCCTGGTGGCCGCCATCCAGCCAGGCTATCTCGCTCACCTGCACCATCAAATTAATTCATCTTCAAAACCAAATTGAAATACCGCTTATTTTCTAAAACAATTTCTGTTATGAAAACACTTCATAACAATGCCCTAAGAACCTGCTGGAAGTGCTAAAAAATGACTATAATAGGCTTGAAAGTATTAAGATCGCATGTTTGCTTGGCTTGCAAATTGAGAATAAATTTAAAATCAATGATTTGGTAGTTGAAATATGTTGAATATTTTATTCTTGCAATACAATGAGAAGCATGAAGCAGCAAGTTTCAAAGATCTTGGCAGTGCACAGATAACAGCTGGCACTTAAATTTATAAATACCTTCTTAAGGAAATTCGTGTAGAGAGTCTGTAGCTCTTCTGGAAGTTCTGACAAGAGGTACAGCTCAGTGACAAGTTGGTTGAGAACGATGCAACCTTTACTGAAGGCGACCAAGGAGATACTGTCAATCGCATCTCCATGTATTTGTCTCGCATTTCCAGCATTGTCTTGCGATGCATCATTGCTACAGACATTAGAGTCCTCACTGATGAGCTCCCTGCCAGTGATCAATGATCTGAAGGGTGGCTCTTGGACGGTTTTGAGCGTATTGTGGACCAGGTGGAAGAGATGGGGGATGGCATGGCGACCTTTTAGGTAATCTGGCCCGCCAAATCTATTCAGCGTCACAAAGTTATCGTAGTAGTTGATCATGTGCTCCATCCTGTACTGAGAAAACATTATGTCAATTGGCAAAGCTCTAATGAAGTATACCTATACAATATCAGGAAATATATAGGTAGTACAGAAATAGGTTGTTTATGATGGTAATTTCATACTCACAATTACACAATGCAAAGCAGAATGATTCAAGATTCTGTTCCAATGTTGCCTTGATCATTGCAATGATCTCTCATTTCACAATTATTTTCTGAAATGTAACTTTTTTTCTTCGCTTTTAAATTTCTAGTAACTTTTTTTAAATTAATCCATTATTAAGTCGGTGTATAAGCATGAATGGCTCAAAATCAGATAGCAGAAAACAAAGTTCTTCTAATGCAAGCCAAAAAATTCTGCTTTCATTATTAACTAGAAAGTAGGTCTAGAAAAAATATCCTTTAGCAAGTCACTATAAGTTTAATTTTTCAATAAACCTACCTGCACTGCATTTACCTACTAGGCCTGACTACCATGATGTGGCTGTTTGGTTTTCGTGATGAAAGCATCTCACATACAGAATCCAAGTCCCATGGTCTAAGGTAATCTTCTGATGCATCCATTTGCTCCACATAGTTCTGCAATATGAGTTATATATTTAATTAACATTTTGATGTTGCAGTGCTGCAATTATTTTCAAGTTTAAGATGCTGATAAAGCTCACAAGCCATTAAATACTGAAATACAAACCCTAAGTTATCAACACACAATATTTTCCATTCTTCTATTTTGCAGATTTAAGGAGACTCTAATGAAGTTGAAAACCTCCTACCCTTCTTGAAGAAACAAAAATCATATATGCTCTGTAGAATCCAGCCATTTTCCAGGGCCTTAATCAGTAGCTCATGCATTTTAACCAGTATATATATATATTTCACATGTACTGTCTAATGGGGTAATAAGGGACAGTTTTGAGCGCTTCTTGTTAATATCTTCTTACCATGAAACATTTCAAAAACAAGTTTAGGCTCATTTTATAGCTCTTTGCAAGGGCTATCGAATAGCATCATAAAAAAATTCCCTATGCTATTTGTAAGGTGCCAGATGCAAAATAAAACTGTCCCAAATTACCCCTGGGAACGGGGTAATCTGAGAAACTTAAAATAAAACTCAATTTTAAAATGTTTGAAGCATGCAGAGTGTACTCATCCATTACTAACATTACTCTGAAGTCCTCCTCTTTCATTGTAGATGATGTAGATATATAATAAATGACATTTTCTGTGTTTTTTACTGGTTTATCCTCTATTGATATCATATCACAATATTCATTCATTACCTTATTATTGATGTGATATTACCAAATCCATAAACATGCCATTGAGCATTTACAATGACCTTGTCCACTGCAAGCTTCAAATCAGCAGCCAAATAGCATTTCTTCTGTATCTGTAAGCTCACAGGACGGCTTGTAATTTCACACCTTTTTAATTGGGTTAAGTGAATTCACTACAAAAAAAAATATCATGAAAAACAGACCTCATACAGAAAGGAATGTTTTAGAAACAACCATCATATGTTTTGGAGAAATAAATCATAGTTTAGGTTAATTACTTTCATTTCCATGATGCCCAGTGCACAATTCTATATTGGTAAGACATTCTGTGCACAATTTTGTGATGACTGATGTGATGATGCATAAATTTTTTGACAAGTGAAATTTTTTTCACTGAGCAAGGTAAATGTAATCAAAATTCTTTGCTGTTTATCAATTTTTTGTTAACTAGAGCCTTTGCTAACTGAGGATAAACTGTAAATGCATTTTTAGGGGTGTCCCTTATTACCCCGTCATGCAGAAATGACTGCCATTTTTTTTTTTTGGAATGAGATAGGCAAATTCCATCAATTGCATTTTCAAGCTTACACCTATGTGCAACTTTTATGTAAGTAAAATTTTTCAATACAGCAAATATTTTTTTGCTGCAGACCTTAATAGAGGTACTTTTCCAAAATCGTACTTTTCACACTTTTTTTCAGCAATTTTTTTAGAGATCTTGCATTTGGAATCTTGCAGGCTGATTGGACACTTTTGTTAACAATTAGATAGGAGGTATATAATTAATTTAGCAGGAATCTCATGGCTTCTAACATTGTGGGAAATCTTTTCTTGCAGTTTGTAAGTGGTACGGTAAAGTAGATATAGGGTAAACGCGGTATATTCCGACATCGTAGGTAATTCCGTCACTTCTCTAGTTTTTCCTTTATATTAAGCTTTGTTTTAGTTCCATGCGTTCATTTGTTGCTGACGCGTAGTGAAGTGTTTTGAGAGTCATGTGAAGGCAACAGAACTTACGTAATGCATACGGTTTTTTTTATAGTTTTTCATTTTTCGATGCGTCCTTAAAGTGTCGGAATATACCGCGTTTACCCTATTTGGCATCAGATTGCTCATACACATAATCAATTGATTTGTTAAATGAAATAGGTATATGTGGTTTTAAATTCTGTTTATAGATACAAAAAATCATTAAAACATTTTTTACCTGCTATTCAACAAAAAAACATCTTAAAAGCCAATTTTTTATCAGCAATTTGTCAAAAAATCTGCCTAATATTCCAGAATAAAAAGTAAACAAATGCAGAGAACTATGCTGCTTTAATTATATTTGAAGGAGTAAAAAAAAGACTCCTTGAGGTGAAGTTGAGGAGTAAATAGTTTTTACAATGAATTCAAATTTGCTAATTTGAGCTGTTACACAAAATTCTACATACCATCAATGTCACATCAATGCTCATATTAAAAAAAAATTGGATCTAAGGTTAAAGAATATATATACACAATTTTACAGATTTAAATTTTTAGATCTAATATGATATGTGCACTTGACCTTGTGACTTCTGACAACGTGACAAGTTCATATATAAAATATAGACTAGCCTAACCCCTATTAGGCCTAAATATTAAATTGAACATAGCACATTTGCACTCAGCAGCTACAGCACTTGACTTGGCAAGTTTAAATTAAACTCGCCACTTCTTAATAAAAAGTTGACAACCATATAATACTGTTTAAAATTTTGATTTTAAGGGTTATGTTACCACAAAATAACTGAGATTTTCTGATTGCGCTAGAGACTTGTAGCTCAGTTTTGTACATGAGTGGTGTCACTGGTGTGGTGAAGTTAGCTAGGTAGGTAGTAGGGTTGATGGCAATGATGGGTGCGGTAGGGTCAAAAAGATGTCAATAGTGTGCACTGTGCGGCTATTCATGAAATTACTACAAACACAAATTTCAAAATTGCCCAAATTCCAAGTAGGCGAAGTAGCTAGTACCTGAACATCTCCAGGGAAAAAGACAACGACGTTCGTAACGTTTGAAGTCACTCGAGGAGGAGAATAAATTATGTGATTTTTACGGCCTTCATGGCCTTCAACAGGACCAAGACGCATGGCGCAGTCGCAGCTTTTATCTTTCGTATAGAAAACCAATTGAATAAATAAGATTAAGAAGACACAACAGCGGCGCCTGATGCAAATTAAGATGTTCTATCAATTCATTTTTTCAAATGATTCCGGGTAACTAGTACAATCGTCACTACTCACTAGCCTACTGGCTGCAGCGGCTGAAACTGAATGTTGTGACTTCACTGACTTAAGACAGGGTTGCCAGATGGAGCCAAGAGAAAAAGACCAATCTGACTCACAAAAAAGGCCCAAAAAGGCCCCATTTGAAATTAATAGAAAATTTTTAAATTTAAGGTAGTTCAAACCATTTGTAGTGCATGCATTTACTCTCAAGGCTTTCAGACAGCAAAAAATACAACAATTACATCACGTGTATGAGCTGAATTACCGTCAATGCTACATAAGCCGCCAGCCTGCAGCGAATTGCATATTACTCGCCGACCTTAAATAAAATCGTATAATACATTATATTTAGGATTCAATTGCCACCTAACAACCATAAAGCTTTTAGTTCGCGTTAGAGAGTTTGGGCTCAGTTTTGCTATTTTGCTAACAAAATAGATAGTAAAGTTGGTAGTCGAAATAAGTGATGTTGGCGGGGAGCGCAGCCGTGCCATTCTAATTTTGTGCTCCAATAAGCCCTGAATCGAACGCCTTGGATATCTCCGGACATCCACCAATCAGCCATGAACCACTCGGCTTTGTCTTCCTCCGGCCTCGCATAGAACCTGCCGTGCACCACCAGGCCGTGGATCGAATTTGACTTCCGGGCATCGTTAAATTACGTGATTTTACGTTCACCGCATCTGAGGTTAGGTTTCAGATAGCATAGTTCTGTTCCAAAATTTATCGTCTTATGACAAGTGGCCGTTCGACCGAGGGCTGGTTCGACCTACGGCCTAGATACGGACGGCTTGAAGTGTTGAAGGCTACGTTCCGGAAGGCAGGAATCATGATGGTCCATTACATCCAGGGCAGTGGTGGTCTTCGGCAGGCGACCCATGTGGCGAAGTTTTTGACATGTTGGCATTAACGGTAGAATATTTATACTCGGAAGATGAAAAAATTTAAACTCATTTCTGCGGTATAGAGATGATGTGGTCCTTGCAAAGTTGCAAGGACCACATCATCAAGGACGTAAATATTAAAAGTCAATCATTTGAATTTATCACAACTTTTGAATGCACAGAAAAATAATATATTGCCTATCATTACTTGCATAGGAAATAAAATTTACTTGTTCAAAGTGATATCTTGAAGTGACTTACACCAGAAGGCTGAATATATCGAGAAGCTGTGCTGTAACCTCAAAAAATAGTGCTAAATGTACTGCTCTTTAGAAGTGAAAACTATACTCGATTATACGCTCTGTCAGCTCTGCTGTCCACGGTTCTTAATTACAGTAATACGAGTCGGCAATTGGATATAGTCCCATGGTTCAACCAAAGTGTTGCCCAGATTAGGCGGCACTCGCTAGTGTTGCCACCTTAACCGAAGTGTTGACACAGTTTCGTGTCAAAATTTGAGTGTACTCATCTTGGGAAAAACTGAATTTGGGTGCACTCGTCTTGGATAAAATTGAAGGACCAAATTATCATAAAAAAGCCGAGAGTTAAGCGGCCTCTAGACGCACAATATTATTGCGCAATATTTAGGTTTGCACAATATTATGGACCGTCTAGGGGCGATATTGACGGGCTGCGCAATATATTGCGTGATTTTCAAAATCTCGTAAATATATTGCGCAAACTGGAAGATATTGTGCCGTGTAGGGGCTATATTGCGTAATGTTTAGTCAGTGTGTCCCCAGTGGTCGTATGGAGCAGTTCTACGCTTATCTACGCGTCATTTTAGCAACGTGGTTTACATCATAACAGATGTTAAGAAAACTGATAAAAATTTATGCTGGAATTCATCGAGGTATATCGGGGTCTCCCAGCTCTATGGGATGTCAAGTGCCAAGACTACGCGAATCGCGCTAAGAAGCTCGAACAGTACGATGTACTGACTGAAAAGTGCAGGGATTTTACCTATTACAGGGATTATTTTACCGATTGCAGGAGTAATCAAAGCAAGAAGTTCGTCAAAAAGTTCCCCATCCATTCGTACAAAATTCCGGAAATTATTAGGTTCAATCATTCTCAATTTATTAAGTAATTTTTCGTGGGTGAACTTCTCTCTGTTATAAACCACTGTTTCGACCGTTTTCTACCATTTTGCGAGCCTCTCTTACTTTTTTACAACTTGATGACACAGCAATTATTACATAGCACAAGTCATTATCGTTCAATATGTTGGCTACGTGAAAGTCTGGCTGGCACTATTTCATTATTTGCGCAGTACGGTTGCACGTCTGGGGGCGTAATTGCACAATATATTGCGCAACCCATCAATATGGCCCCTACATGCTCAGTAATATTGCGCAACCAAAAATATTGAACAATAATATTGAGCGTCTAGGAGCTGCCGTCAATATATTGTGCAAACCATATTGCGCAATAATATTGAGCGTCTAGAAGGCCCTTTACATTTTTCATAAAAAAGGCCCAAAACGGACAAAAAGGCCAAATAAAAATTTTCAGGCCAATGCATTTCAAAAAAGGCCACATTTGCGAAATTTGGTCTGAAAAAGGCCCATCTGGCAACACTGACTTGTGAGATGTGAGTGGAACCGTGACGTCGTTGCGAGTCAACTGTCAACTCAACAGTCCAGCGTTGCCAGATGGTATATTTCTATACCAGATTTGTGAAATCTGGTATTTTCAGAAGGTGTCTGGTATGAATATTTTAGATCTGGTATATATGCCTAAATCTGGTATTTTTCTGGTATTTTCCGACATACTGCAAATTTACTGCATTAAGTTCCACCTCTGAAGTTTGAACTTCCTCCAGCGTAGGCGTGGATTATATAGATTGCCTTCAGAGCGGCGCGATTAGAGGTTTCCCGCCATTTTTGGAACCGCAAGTTTACCGCTTGATGAAATAACCCCAATCTAATTGTTAACAAAAGTGCTTAGTGCAATATGAACACGAGAGTGATGATCCTTGACTGATTAGTGATTACTGATCAGTGATGATATGGCCTAGGACGAGTGAGGTTGTCGAACCGATCTCTGCGACGCAAGCTCCACCATTTTTGTTTGGTGGTTTGAATTATAGAGTGCCACTTGAATTCGGGGGTGCCATACAATATTTCACTGATCGTGAAAATCATTATCCATTCATAGAACTGGCTGCCTACTGCACCACGTGTCTACTTTGACCAGGTCTCCAATGCATTCGTGGAGTGAATGTTTTCACAAGTCACCTATGTGAAAAACAAGTAGCGAAATAAAATTTCAACTAACTAAGGTACTGCAGTCCCTTATTCGGACCAAAAGCTATCTGCTCAGCCGTAACAAGTGATCAAATCCGAAATGTTAGATTAATGCAATATGCAAGCATGTATGAAAATGGAAGATGACCTGTAAGCATGTATGAAAATGGAAGATTACCTGTTTCCGTGGCTTGCTCATGTTGAGCGAAGGGGAAGAAGTGCCACACTGATAAATGCACAGTACATAAAATACTTTTTAGCGCATTTTCTCATTTATGAAAAAAATGCACTATTGTGGGCGCCATGTCCTTCTGTCCGTCCGTCTATCCGTCCGTGACCACGTTTCCGTCGACGAGAAAATGCGCTCTCTGTCAGTCACTGCAGTGAGTACTGAGTTATATATATTTTTTCTTTTTGTAACCAACGCTTCTGACGAATAGTTTCATTAAATTTGGAGGTATTAGTCAGTTTTCGAGCAATACAATTTCTGGTATATTTCTGGTATTTTGAGCTAGGCAATCTGGTATTCTCGCAGAGAAAAAACCTGGCAACACTGCAACAGTCAACACTCAGTGCTACTCTAGCTGGTGTTCGGGGAGGTAGTGCTGCTAAATAGCGCTCGTGCCGTTAGTTTTATACTTCACGCTATTACTAGTAGTTCATAAATTCTGTTGTAAGATTTTATATTTAATTTATAACCATTATGTGCCAACTTTCAAATTACTGTAGAAATTGAATATAATAAGTCTTAAAAGATAGAAAGTTTAGCGCATAACTTATACCAAAAATGGGTCGTAAGAGTGGCAAGAAGGAACAACAACCCATGTTTCAAACATATAAGATTGTGGTCGTTGGTGGTGGAGGTGTAGGGAAATCTGCAATCACCATCCAATTCATACAGGTAAGTTTGGTTGAATCAATGTTGAGCCCGTTTGATATTCAAAACTGATGCATCATGGCTAGTATAAGTATACGCTAGAAACTCAGTTTAAATTTAAGCCTTACGAATGACGGGAGTTTCTTGACTTCCTTATTCATTATGTGCACAGGTCTTGTTACGCGCACTTTAGACTTTAGTTAGTTTACGTGCCTTTTTACTTGTATAAGGTAGGTGACAATTGAAACGCTAATATCGATGATATGGGAAAGAAAGAATTTTTAAAGTACCGATATACCTGTAGGGTCGGAGGCTAACGGAGGGCCCTAGTCCCATACTCCCGTTCCTATTGCTCCGTACAGTCGGTGAATCAAGTAGTCAAGTACCATACAGTACCTACCTACTGTAACTTGTGTACGTGCAAGACTGTGAGTTATAAGTTTTAATTTGCCGTGACGTCCATGTTTGTGACTTCAGTGTACTAATGAAATATTTGTTATGGTTTAATGCCAGAAAGTCAAATGAATAATTTTAGATTTACAAGTACGTTTACTGGTGATTTTTAACAAGTGGGTGTATACCTACTCTAAAACAAATTAGCTTGCCAGATTTATGATAAACTTTGTTGAAAGAAAAAGTTTTGTGTATTATTTTAGTTCTTAGTTTTATTACTTGATATGTAGTAAATAAACTTTGTCAGTATTTTCAAGTTCAGCCGCAATTGCTAGCAGGGAAAACAACTCAAGTTCTGTTTTCAAAATAAATTAAAATTTAACTTAACTTAACAAATGGTTTGTTTGTGAAGTTAGATAATGATTTTGAGTAATTATAAAATTGGAATAATAAGAATTAACTGAATATATGAGCCTGATTGTTCAGTGCTTTTGCCCTTAGGGAGAGAAAGAAATATCTTAAATTTGAAGGGTCATTTTAATTTGATATGAAATTTTTACATATTGGTCATAGTTTTTTGTTTGCTGGACTATCATTAGTAAATTATCATTTATGACATCTTTATACAAATGAATGCAAGTAGCATCCACTTATTGATTGACAACCTATATATATTTATATCATCTGTGCAGTATTGTCATTTTACATAGAATACATGAAACAAGTATATTATTTATATTTCTTTATTATTGTTCTAAGAATGTTTTAAGAGTCTCAACATTCTTCAGGTGAAATGTTTTAGTTGTATATATATGTTAAACAAAATATCAGCTGAATTGCAGTCAGTGTAGAAATAAAGTCAGCACATGGAAATATATAACCTCATTAGTGATTTCTCGTGAGATCTATTGGGGATGAATGTTATGTCCGCACCACTCAGATTGAATCACACCCACACAAATAGGAATGAATCACGCCCACACAACTAGGAATGAATCACGCCCACACAACTAGGAATGAATCACACAAGCATAGGTTATTTTGAACGAATTATGCTGGTTTGTGTGTTGAATAGAATACGAGTGCTGATACATTAGAGCATTTTGTGCTCGTAAGCCGTGCAATGAAAATTACAGACGCAGATTGTCACCGACGCGTGGCTGTTGGCAGCTTCAGTGCAGCGGTAGTCGAGGTGTAGTGTGTGTGTGTAGTAATGAAGGTTACGTTTTTGTTTAGTGCGTAACGTTGCTGTTGGCGTATTGTCATCCATTTTCTGCTCAAGCTAAATTGAATTTGGATGAAATGCGTCTATTACATTTGTCATGGTAGTACGGTTTTCGGCCGAGTTCACGTTTGAGGGAATGGTACAACATGTTTAAATATTTTTTGCTTCTAGACGTTTGTGGAGAGTTCTAAAGTATGTTAATGTTATTTTTCGACAGCACTTGTTTTCTTCTAAGGCCGCGTGGTTGCCGTCAAAAGTATTTAATTCCCCATACTTTACTCTATGTGTTTCTGGTGAACCTACGTGAATTTTTATTATAAATTAATTGAGTTTGTATCATTTCAGAGCTACTTCGCCACGGACTATGATCCTACGATAGAAGACTCTTACACCAAACAATGTCTTATCGACGATGTCGTCGCCAAACTTGACAGTGAGTGCCCGCTAATATCTGTGTCATTTCTACTTAATCAAACCTGCGATGCTCGATGTAAATAGGAAACTATTTACAGACTTGAACTTAATGTAGACTGTTTGCTCAATGCAGTTTACGTTTGTTTGTTTTGAATTAAGCCTAAACGTACAAAGCACAACGAACAGCTTTTGAGACAGTGTTTGTTTCACGTATTTAAGACTTACATGCAGTGTCACAAGTGTAAAGTGGGTTCCATATTTTGTGTATAAATACCAGTTCATTTTTGAACTTGTTGCACAGCTTAACGCCAAATTTAAAGTGTTTGCTTACTTCTAATGAACTAATATATTTATGTTCTCTTATTTTTGGTATAGCGTTGTTTTGATGCAGCTGTTAGAAATGAATTTCCCTAAGGTTATGGGCTTATTGGCGTGTTTTAGCACATGTGTGGAAGTTTGCGCCATAAATGTTTCTACAGTTATCCATTGTTTTATAGCATGCATCTCTGTTATCTTATAAAGAGTTATAATTGTCCATAGACATACCATATACTAGATTCGTTCATAATTTGACCATTGATAAGAATTTCCCTGCAATAAACAAATCGACTAAGAACACTTCCTCTGAATGTCGCACGATCTTATGACTGTCAAAAACTCTACGTACTTGGTAAATCATCAGAAATGTATTGAATGACGAAGATTCTGGGTAACAAGATAGCGGCATTTGTTTAAGATGCCAACAGATATTTTCCGATACACGTATTCCGATTTTTTAATTTGCTCGCGAATTTCGATTTTTTGATTGGGTCACGTATTTCGATTTTGTAATTAGCTCACTCTCGATTTTGTAATTGGTTCACCTATTTCAATTTTGTTATTGGCTAACGAATTTTAATTCTGTAATTGGCTTACTGATTATAATTTGGTAATTGGCTCACGAATTTCAGTTCCGTAATAGGCTCACGAATTTAGATTTTGTAATTGACTGCGGTCTGAACTCAATTATTGTATCTGCCGAGTGTTGCGTCTATATCCATCCTGCTTTGGACAAATCTTTTTGGGACGAACGTAATTAATTGATTCTAAGGCAAATAAAAGCACGACTCAAAATGGCTTAGAGCATTTTTTGTTCAGTGAAAATGTCATGATGGCAATTGTGGCAGCTATCCTAAAGTTTGCTCTGTGCTGCCACCTGCTGGCAGTTGTGGCAGCTATCCTAAAGTTCGCTCTGTGCTGCCACCTGATGGAAATTGTGGCAGCTATCCTAAAGTTTACTCTGTGATGCCACCAAATTTTGTGGTATCGACTTTTCTTTTCTGAGCGCCTGAGCGCCAAGAGGCAGAGGAGTCGCAACTTGCTCCCGCGTCTGCGGAAGCCGTTAATCCTGAAGAATTGATATTCGCAGCTACACTCGATCATGCAGTCTACCGTAAGAAGATCTGAAGTTAAAAACTGCTCAATGCATTAAGTGCCACTAGGACAAAGTCAACGCGCTAATCGTAGCGTAAAGTGTCCTGGACTGGTGTAGACAAGACCCCAGCTTAAAGAAGATTGGTTCTGTTATAAGTCACGATATCGAACCGCATGCAGACCATCTCCAGACCCCGGTCAAAAGAAGACCCTGTAGGAAGGCACGATAGCGAACCGTGTGCAGACCACCACTATAGCTCGCTCTAAATAAGACCTTATAGGAAAGCAGGCTGCAGAACCGTATGCAGACCACCACTATAGCTCGCTCTAATTAAGACCCTTTAGGAAAGCAGGATGCAGAACCGTATGCAGACCACCACTATAGCTCGCTCTAAATAAGACCCTTTAGGAAAGCAGGATGCAGAACCGTATGCAGACTCGTGAATGCACGCATCTTTAATGCGCGTAGCGTGAATGCGCGCATTTAGAATGCGCGTAGCGTCTAGCGTGAATTTGCGTAGCGTGAATGCGTGTAGCGTGAATGCGTGTAGCGTGAATGCGCGTAGCGTGAATGCGCGGAGCGTGAATGCGCGTAACGTGAATGCACTCATCTTGAATGCACGCATCTTGAATGCGCGTAGCGTGAATGCGCGCATTTAGAATACGCGTAGCGTGAATGCGCGTAGCGTGAATGTGCGTAGCGTGAATGCGCGCATCTAGAATGCGCGTAGCGTGAATGCGCGTAGCGTGAATGTGCGTAGCGTGAATGCGCGTAGCGTGAATGCGCGTAGCGTGAATGCGCGTAGCGTGAATGCGCGTAGCGTGAATGCGCGTAGCGTGAATGCGCGTAGCGTGAATGCGCTTAGCGTGAATGCGCGTAGCGTGATTTCGCGTACTACCGTGAATGCACGTAGCGTTAGTAGACGCAGCGCAAATGCGCGTTCTGTGCGTTCATGGGCTTTGTTATAACGGCAGGTTGAGATGTTTAGTGTAGGTATGGTTTCGATCTCGCGTTATATTCTGGTTATCCGCAAGTTATTTCATTAATTACCGGTATTTCGCATATTTTACTCATGTTTATTAGATGATGCATTTCCTTTTTTACGCATAACGCATGGATGATACTTCTGTGTTTTATTTATCTTTTTATCTAATCGAAAAAATAATCCAGTATAGGTATTACTCTTACTAGGAATGATATACATTTACGTACTATTATAATATCTGTACAAAGAGCGTTCATACAAACGCAACTCGAGACTATTTATTTCTGCGTACTATCATAATTCAAGTGCAAGCAGTTCGTTCATCCAAACCACTTAACTTCAATATGGTGCATTGATTCCACCATCATGACATGCAGTGATGATGGAATCAATGATTCCATCAATCAATGATGGAATCAATGATTCCATGATTAGTAGACATGATTCCATCATGTCTACTAATTGTCTTGGCGGATTCTTGATCTATGATAATCTATCATCAATTATATTTTCCTGGGCCCATACTTCCAAAAAAGTTAAGAGATCGTAAGTTCATCAGGCAATCATCGACGGCCTTTCAAGCAAAATCCACCAATCATAGACAAGAAAACAGAGCGTAAGTACTTACGTTCACTTAGCGAGTTCTGAAAGTATGGCCCCTGGTATCCTTCCAAGTCCGGCCGTAAGCCACGATTTTATCAATGGAACTTCTTGCTTCTTAACTCACTGCTGTGCAGAGTGAAGGGTGGCACGCGAGGATGCATCTAACAGCGATCTTTACTGGTATTATTTATTACTGAACATCCTACTGGAGTAGCATGACTTACACATCTTTTTCTAGCATGACTCAGACCTCTTTTCCTGCCATGACTATGCCCTCTTTCCCTATACCATGCTACAGATGACCTCTTTCTCTAGCGTGACTCACATCTCTTTTTCCAGCATGACTCAGACGACCTCTTTCCTTAGCATGACTCAGACACTGGAAACCGTCGAGTAATTTCCGTGCCTGCCTGGTCGCTTTTGGTATAAATTCAAAGTTTGTTGAGTCACACGCTGTGCTGTCTTGAACTATCGCGCTCAACATGCATGCGTTACGAATCATACGTTAACCGAGAGTCACCTAATGAAGATTTAAGTAGTGCGGGAATGTCTGATCGTATAATGTGCCTCATTATTAATAATTGAACAGCTCACAAGTATAAATTGCGCCCGCAAATACTTTATGAATGCAAATCGTTACCCGAAATATTCCGTCATCTAGTACGGTATTTGTTTATTAGAAAAATTTGTTTTTGAACCTTTTGAAGTTGGAAAATATTTCAGATACACGCGTATATTTGAAGACGAAAATTGAACTGTGTCGACGTGATTCGCACATTCAGGTAAATTTCTTGTAATGTTTTCAACTTTATTGTGCAGACTGAAAGGACGATGCATGAGATCGATTATTTAACGTTATTCTAACTCCGAATGCAACTATGCAAACATTATCAGGCTACATTGAGGTTAGGCCTGCACTCTGCATGCAAGCTACACGTATGAAGCCGTCACATTCCCAGCAATCAAAGCAATGCCAGACTAAATGTTATCTGTTGAGTGTCAGCTCTTGACGCTGACCACCATGCAGGGCTTGCAGGAGATGCAGGATTATTTTTAAGCTATCAAGTCTGTCGCAATATCGCCGTATGTCTTCCAGTCGATCATAGACATACATGCCGGAAATTCTTGTGGTCGCTATTCATTCTAAGCGATAGTATAATGGTTGACGTTGAGTGCTAGAATATTAGAGACGGCTGACAATACACGCTTGTTTTTTTTCTTGAAATAATATAAGCGTGAGTAATTCATCTTGTCTACATTTATTCTCTATATAGATATTAAAATAAGGTTGAGCCGTAGATTTACGGTAACGGTATAAGGTTGAGCCGTAACGTTGAGCCGTAGATTTACGTTCTCCGATATTGTCTCGTGTGTTTCGAGAAAATGATACGAATACGATAGCAATTGCTTATTCTTGTTTTCCCGAGTGAAATAAATTCTTTTGTCGCCAATTCTGTCGCAATAAGGCAGCAATCCTTGCCTCTGCAATCTTTTTACTTTTTAGGCTGTCTCTCTCTTCATGCGCTGGCGACATCCCAAAGGACAAGCGACCGTGTGGCGAAATAGACGCTTTCCGGTCAAGCGTATAATACTCGAATATGCATCCATTGCAGAAACTCGCGAGTCCGAGCTGTATGACTGCACTCAAAACAATGTGTGGGTCGTTTTGGAAGAGTCTATACGCTCTTAAAGTTTAAAATAATTAATGAGATCTTAGTATGAAGATCTTGGTTGTGGATCTGTGTTATCACCCAGCAATATCTGGACCAAGTAAGTCAATCCAATGCACTGAATTACTCTTGGCGCTTGGGAGTGACTAATGCAATTCTGCCGTGCTCTTAAGACGCTGCATGAGGGGCATGTCTTGAATAAATTGGCCACCTGTCTTGCTGCAACGAACGCCTGAGACGTCGCTACGAACGTCTGAAACGTCGCTACGAACGTCTCAGACTTCGCTACTAACGCTTGAGACGTCGCTACGAACGTCTCAGACTTCGTTACGAACGCTTGAGACGTCGCTACCAGTTTATTGGTGATTGACGGAAAAGCTTCGTGTTCGCGTACGAAGCCAAAGTGGTCGTTAAGAGGCAACTCCCGCTGCTCTTCTTGCCGTAAAGTTTGCCAAGGATAGCAACTGCTTCACAGAAAACTCGTCGTAGAGAATTGAAGGTTTTCTTCTCAATACTTTTTATTACACTGAAAATTACTAGTAAATTACTAATTATTACACTAAATAAATTGTCTTAGGATAGTACGTATCGTTCTTTATTTAGATGGCGGTGTTTGATTCAATGAATATTTTGATGTTTACTATCACTTTCTTTAGCTAGCGCTATGACAGAACTAACTGTCTGACTCAAATGTACCGAAATAAAACTGCTTGTAAACAAACTGTCCTCCTACAACAGACATTTGTTGAATATAGTCACCCGGATCATACTAGACATATTTTTATTATATTCAGCTTATTTTTACTCCATGCATGGCATGCTCATTTAAATTCATTCATACCGATTTGTAGTTAACATAAAATGTCAAAATCAATGGAGTGTCATGTTCAGGTGTAATACAAGATGTTCGCGTTGGCTGTAAACTTGTACTCAAGTTATGCAGATTTTGTTCTCATCGACAGTCGAGTTATTCTATAATGTTAAAAAAATTTATAAATTCTATGAAGAATAATTTATCATAATTTTTGAATAAACTTGCACTAGCAGCTTACCAGATTCTGTTCGCTTTTGTAGTTAACTTTTGATATCACTATTACTGTAAACTTTTAAAATACTTGATATTTTTAACTTCACATATTTATCAAATATGTAATAAAGAAGAATCAGATAAGTACAAATAATAATAATATTATCACGGATATAAAGGAAGAAGCAAACGCGGCGTGAGCATGAGGGAAGCGGCGAGGCGGACTGATAAAAGAGGTCCAGGGTAACGTCTATATTTAACGCACGTGTAGTGCACTGTGCACTGCTTAGTGCGCGCCTCTAGCAGCCCTGCTCTGCCATCTGCATCTACACTGTCTGGTGTACAGTGTACACTGTCTGCTGCACACCATCTGCATTTACACCATCTGGTGTACACCATCTGCATTTACACCGTCTGGTGTACACCATCTGCATGTACACCGTCTGGTGTACCATCTGCATTTACACCGTCTGGTGTACCATCTGCATTTACACCGTCTGGTGTACCATCTGCATGTACACCGTCTGGTGTACCATCTGCATGTACACCGTCTGGTGTACCATCTGCATTTACACTGTCTGGTGTACCATCTGCATGTACACCGTCTGGTGTACACCATCTGCAACATTTGGATGTACATTATATTGCACTGCTCTGTACTCGCCTATCAATGATTGTATTTGCTATGCGTAATCGTATTGCTCGCCACTATGCTTATATGGACAATTAATTTTCATTTTAAATTCACCAGCAAGTAAATGGCGGCTTCACCATTCATTTTCTTTGCATCTTCGTTCGCCCCGTCTGCCCAAGTCTGCATGAATCGATTCGCTCAGAATTACAGCCTGGGCGAGTGTGCGCGATGCATACTCCTCTATTTATTGGATCCATCGATAAGCGTATTTCCCGATATGATCAGGTTTATATTTGATCTTGTATTGTATGCAGCGAAGTACTAATCATTATCACTCCTAACATCTCAGCTTCTATTCTTCATCTCTCCACCCATTATCTTGAAGAGTTCGTGTGTTCGCTAAATGGTGTTGGCACTCGGATCTTCAAGCCATATAAGAATTATAGTTCGTGATACTAATTTGTTACGCTAATCCTCAGCAACTGGTGCCCGCATGTGGCAACTTTTTACTTTGTTTTTAGTATATCAACGCAAGAATCTACAAGTAGCAGCAGCGTATGTCTTTAATTTGTCGCTATTATAGAATGACGATGAGTTTTAATTTAGTCTTGCAGTCAACTTTTTACTGTGTTTTTAGCAAGAATCCCCAACGCAAGAATCGAAAAGTAGCAGCAGCGTATGTCTTTAATTCCTCGTTATTATAGAACGACGATGAGTTTTAATTTAGTCTTGCATCTTATTTACATTATATACGTAAATAAGACGCGTTTTAATTTATTGCTGCATCTTTAATTTATTGTGATGAAATTCTGCCAAAAATTTTTATGTTGCTGCTCGTCGCTCGTGAATTCGCTGTGAAGTTGTGTTGGCGCTTCAAATCACATTGACCTACGACCTATTTTATAACCTTGAGGTTGAAGAGTAGGTCGCCGCTCTCTGTTATCGCGGCGATGCTGACATTTCTTTCAGTTTATTTTTTTATTTTATTTTTAATAGGTAGGTATTATGCGTGTGTGAGTAGTGTACCTACCGTAGGAGACAGACGGCGTGGGTATGACATTTTGTTGGCTTTAATTATTCATTATTTGTTGGCTTTAATTATTCATTATTTTGTTGGCTTTAATTATTCATTATTTTGTTGGCTTTAATTATTCATTAGTGTATCGTAGTAGTCAGACGGCGTGGGTATGATACGCCCACTCATGGATACACCCACGCTGTTACTCGCAGCCACGCACCACGCGCACCTTGGCATTGTGCTTCACTACACATATTATCGAACACGAACAATTTATGGACAATTCTATATAACCATCAAGTTATTATGAAAATAACGAAAAATGTGTTTTGTAAAAACCAATTTGGCCTGTTGCATTTAGTCATTAATACTGCAGCATGTTTTAATTGATCAATAATGCGAAGTTGTACCTTGCCCTAATTTTTCATGCGACATTTGTCAGGATACACATAGATGCATTTATGTTAATAGTTAGCACATTTTCGTTAGTCTATTGCCGAACTATAAAGTTAGTGTAGACCGAACAATAAACAACTGCTAGTCATCAACGGCACAAGTCGACCACTTGTTTCATCTTCCCAGATACTTAAGTCTGTCAAAAAAAAAAAACATTTCTTAAAATTTCAGCGCACGATTTCCTTGCCGTGTTTTGTCACCGAGCCTCAAACCTGTATACAGGAAAAAATATTGTATTTTGTCTTGAACAAAAATATCGCCGGGCTGAAGATAGCTTGCGTATGTAGCTACGTTTAAATTAAGTCCGACGTCAAGAGTTTACGAGGCACTTGAGTTCTACATCTGCACGCTAACGTGTTTGTTTGAAGAGCGGCGCTGCTCTCCCCCTGCCCTCTGCCTAGCTTTGCCCTCTACCCAACCCTACCCTCTACCCAACCCTGCCCTCTACCCAGCCCTACCCTCTGCCCTGCTCTACCCTCTACCCAGCCCTACCCTTTACCCAGCCCTACCCTCTACCCAGCCCTACCCTCTGCCCTGCTCTAACCTCAATTTCCCTCGTTTCGCTGCCGTGCGGCTCAGCTAGAGATCTCACCAAAGATATCACAGTCGACGGCAGTGTCATTTATTAGGCTGCTTAAAATGATTAATAAGCTCGTTTTTCGAGCGATGCACGCGTCTGTAGGGGGCTAGCTTCGATTTAAATAAAAAATAGTTGAAGGTCAATTTATGAAACCCAATCACGTCGAATATGGCTTCTCAGTCATAGGTACATAAATAAAAGAATGATATATGGCCTTGTAAATTTGTACTGTACAAGGATGAATGTTGTCACGAATTGCAGTTGTTATTGCAAACAATATAGGTACCGTAGTCTTCATTAACAGATTCTTCTCAATTAAAAATCAGTACCTGTACTGGAAATTTTCGAGCCCATTGAGTTGGAGTTCGTGACGCTAAAATAGTGTCAGTGATAGTTGTGTGTAGAAGATTAGTTATATTTGTAGCCATACACCAGTCTATAAAGAATATATATGTACGTCGTAATAAGCTCCTCTTGATGTTTCATTCAGAAAAAAAATTTTGAAAAATCATTGGAATCGTGCATCTAATTTCTATCTCCGTGTTTTTATATGGGTATTTAATAACGAATTCAATTCTCATCAATTAGAAATACTGAAGGCCATTTGCTTTAACATCTAAAACTTATGCTCAAACATTGAAAATTGCTGCAAACCAATGCTTATTTTCAACCAAATAATCTAGATGCTGTAGAAACCTTTAACGTTTAAAAATCGAATATATTTCTTGTTATCAGTTGTTCGCCCGTTGACGGTGCCTGATGCGTTTATTGTTATCAGTTGTCCGCCCGTTGACGGTGCCTGATGCGTTTATTGTTATCAGTTGTTCGCCCGTTGACGGTGCCTGATGCGTTTATTGTTATCAGTTGTNATTTCTGACGTATTACATGTATATTCTGCGTGTTTTTGTCCGCTTATTTATGCTGTATTTCTGACGTATTACATGTATATTCTGCGTGTTTTTGTCCGCTTATTTATGCTGTATTTCTGACGTATTACATGTATATTCTGCGTGTTTTTGTCCGCTTATTTATGCTGTATTTCTGACGTATTACATGTATATTCTGCGTGTTTTTGTCCGCTTATTTATGCTGTATTTCTGACGTATTACATGTATATTCTGCGTGTTTTTGTCCGCTTATTTATGCTGTATTTCTGACGTATTACATGTATATTCTGCGTGTTTTTGTCCGCTTATTTATGCTGTATTTCTGACGTATTACATGTATATTCTGCGTGTTTTTGTCCGCTTATTTATGCTGTATTTCTGACGTATTACATGTATATTCTGCGTGTTTTTGTCCGCTTATTTATGCTGTATTTCTGACGTATTACATGTATATTCTGCGTGTTTTTGTCCGCTTATTTATGCTGTATTTCTGACGTATTACATGTATATTCTGCGTGTTTTTGTCCGCTTATTTATGCTGTATTTCTGGCGTATTACATGTATATTCTGCGTGTTTTTGTCCGCTTATTTGTGCTGTATTTCTGACGTATTACATGTAGTATATTCTGCGTGTCTTTGTCCGCTTATTTATGCTGTATTTCTGACGTATTACATGTACGTATATTCTGCGTGTTTCTGTCCGCATATTTATGCAGTATTATTAACGTTATTACCCCGTATTATTAACGCTATTACTCCGTATTTTTAACGCTATTACCCCGTGCAGGTGTCAGTAGAGGAGGTGGAGACACTAGCCCGGCAGCTCAAGATCCCCTACATCGAGTGCTCGGCCAAGATCCGCGTCAACGTCGACCAGTGCTTCCACGAGCTCGTCAAAATCGTACGCAGATTTCAAGAAGCTGATCGACCTCCCGCCAAGTACACTAATTCCAACAAGAAAAACTGTGTTATACTCTGAGGCTCATCCAACCCTGAAGTGCATTTAAAAAAAATTACTCCGCATCAGGATCTTTACTGCAGCTTAACTTGCATCAAGCAAACGAGCACTGGATGCAATTTTTTCACTGGATGCAAGTATCGACTCCTGCTACATTTCATCTCTGGCTGTTGTTCGCATTTCATTCTATGATTCTTTTTTAAATAAGCCAACAATAAATGTTTTTGTTTTTTTGGATATCAACTACGAAGTGACTGTGAATTGAAGTGCAATAATGTGACAAAAATGAGAAAGCTCACTTCTGGTGATTTATTTTAGGCTTTGTTGGCAGTCTCGTACGATCAAAAGTTTCTGAACCTGTAGTCATCGTAATTTTGAACCTGAAGAGCTAGTTGAAACCTCTATTTATTCACGAACTAACTGTTAACAGGGGAGATGAATGCCCATGGATAACAAAACAACATGAAGTATTTAATCAAAAGTTATTGCTCAATTGAGTAATTCGTAACTACAATAATAATACTGACCAGGATTGATCTGAACACTTGCAAGAAGTGCTATGTCTTCTTACTTTGTGTTGGTGAGCTCACGCCTTCCGACTAGCAACATTCTAGCAATTGTCATGTTATCTTTGAAGAAAAGATACGTAAATTACTAGTTTCTATCAATGTAATAATACTTGCTGACGCATATTCGCTGAAACTTGCACGAAATTTATTTACGTATTGTATTTAAAAATTATCAATGGCTTAGAATCTAAAAACTCGGTACAAAATTCTACTAATAGATTCACAATTTTCTATTCTTAACTTCAAAGCTTTTACTTAAGTTATTGGTGCCAATATAGTCTGTATTTGATAATTTCTTTTATGAACAAAAATTAGAAGGTAATGTATGTTGATTGCATGGCATCCATCTGGTGACTCAACGTTTCTGAAAAGGGGAATTATTACTTATCAAATTAACCTAGGGTGGCTTGCCAAATCTATGATTTGTCATTTATATGCCATAAATTTTTCTTATACGATACACTTCAACCGATTCTTATCATAACGTTTATTTTGATGCTAATCACAACAGAAGTTTGGTTAATCACAAAGTGTTAGATTTCACTCTCTATTTGTCTGTGTCTTGCATTTTTAATCTTGTAACATAAATCAAAATTCCATCTTTTAAAATGTCTTCTTTGTAAAGGAACCGTCAGTGTTATTTATCTCTGAGCAGCTACGGTAGGAAGCAGTGAAGCTCTGATTGATATTAATTAGCAGCTAATAAAGAAGATCTGATATCTTTGCTAATCCATGCGAAGAACTCTACGCCCAACCACATTGTGTTCGCTAACCTATTATTATTTTCTCTTATTACTTAACGTGTGTGTGGTCAGAGAAATGTATCCGTGATACTGTTGATTTGTTGGCTGTTGTGCCTCGCAAGTAACGTGCCCTTTGATTGTTGCCTTCGTCAGTTGACCAAGTTTAAGTGTTAAGGTTGTAATTCTTCGTTTAATTCGAGCAGATCTGATGTAGTTAATAATGAAGTAGTGAGAAGACTGTGAGAGACAGCGTGTGAATTCGATGACGAGTTTTAGGTACCTTCTCGTGTAGCATTGGTGCAGACACAGAAGCCTGCTGCTAATATATATTAAACGCAACTGAAGTTTAAGTATTTGATTGTGCAAAAGTATTTTGGTTTGTCTTAAGTGTGGCTCTATTTATAAGTCTGAAACGTCAATGGGTTTCTGGAAAATTAGACAGGAAAATTCTCGGAAGAAGATGGGAATACATTTTTGCATTTTAATGGAAAGGGGTAAAAATACTATTTATAGATTTAAATAGGGAAATAAAGTGCTTGTAGTTAAGAAATTGATTGCACATTTTGTTAAAATTCGGCGTGAGTACCATAGTTTATTGGAAATAATTTTGTATTGATTCTAGCTAATGAATATCCTCGTGAGCTGCAAAATAATCCTTGGTTTACAGTTTAATCATCGCTTCAAACACTGAAAATTGAGGCCCGGCGAACACTGTTATTCGAATTATTAGAAACCTTTTTCAATTCGTTAAGTTCACCATAGTTGCTGTTCTCTTTTGAATGGCAACGTTTGTCCTCGTATACACAAAATCTATTCAGGATATGAGAAAGGCACAACGAGGAAAAGGTTTTTGCTGGACGATTAGCTTCGAAAATGCGAAGTTGCATGGAATCAAGTAGTTCATAAATATTCGCTGATGCTATTGATATTGAATATGCGTTGTCATTAATTTACCGAGACATCGCAATATCGGGCGTTCTATTAATTTCTTTGTTATCCTCCCACGGCAATAAAGACTGTCTGGAAAGATTTAGGAAGATCTCCTGAATTTTTCCAGGAGTGCATTTTACTTTTGACGAATTTCGGAGTCAACTGCGATCGAGATAATAATGTGCCTTAACATAACATAACATAATTTCTGACGTAAGAATTGACTTCGTCACAAGGATAAAAATAGAACATTAATTAGTGTAACACAGTCGAGGCAACTTTATTATAAATCAAATTCCATAATTGCTTATCAGCAGCTAGATAGTAATTTCGGTATTTTGTACAATTCTTTTAACGAGCTATGTATCCTTAGCGTCTGAGGTGTGAATTGTAATTTTAGTTTACATACACGAAATTACACATATGAGTACGTATTGTCCCGCCATTTGCTATTAATGTTAGTTTATTTACTGTATAAATTTTGTCCAGCGTTCGGAATGCAGTTTGGTGTCGAAATAATATTTTTAAAGCCTGGGTTGAGTGAAAACTTCTGAGTACCTATATCCCTATTGAGATCGTTTTGTCATTCTTAATTTTATACAACATTTGTGGACTTGCCCAAACTGGAGAATATTATACAAATTGGGAGGCGACAATTAACTCATCTTGTGATTTCATTGCTAAATTTGACACAAATTCAGGTTCTACAATTTCTAACTGATTTTCTGTCGAATTGCTGTAATTTACCTGAAAATAAACAGCAAATATACATAGAGTTTACCAATCATTTAAAAACTTATACTCTCAAGTGCACTAAGAAACGCTTCAGTATTTTAATATAATTTCGACTCAAAACTCTGCCAAGCCCAAGTTAAATTTTTCATCTCTAGCGATTGCTTAACGAATACTACATCGCTGTGTTCTACTTGGCCATTCTTGTGAACGAAATTAGGATGTTTCCTCAGAATTTGTGCAATGTCTAGCATATCCAGCCCACTGATCTGATAGGTCATGAAAATTAATACCTAATTTACTAGTGTTTGTTGTAATGTACGTTCCTTAGTGTGAATGTGGTACAATAAAATTATATGTACGTAGGTATAGCAGTTGTCTTCCATCGCTGAAATGCGGTTACTAAAATCTTACTCTAACAATTATTGATGTCTTATATGTATTAAAATCCCACCTCAACTATTGCCCTTACCGGTACTCTAGAATATCGGGAAAACCTCAGTGACGAGATTGGACCATTTGAATTTTGTCGCAAATTTACAACTCAGATTTTTCCAATGATAACTGAACATTGCTTATAAAGGGCCATTCTTGAATGAAAATTCAAGATTGTTTAAAATGCCTGGCTTGAATGAAAATTTAAGATTGTTTAAAGGGCCCCGACTTGAATGAAAATTTAATATAAAATAGTAATGAACATTATTAATAGTTTGCTCTCGTATGGTTTTCTTGTGTTTACAAGCTGAGATATCAAAACACAAGCCAGGCTAAATTATTTAGCACGAATTCTTCCTTGTATTATACAAATCTTTACAAATGTCATCCGAATTGGAACTTTTTGGTTTAATCTCGGCTTGACTTTAGACGTTTGTTAATAAGTCTAATATTATCGTTCGGTCTGCACAAAAATGATGTATGCAACAGTTTTATGAACGCGGTCATGGAACACTAACTGATAATAGTATAAAACTTATCCTCTATGATGACTTATCAATATCCTTCATCTTCGTATTCTTGAGCTAGAGTTTTAAATGAAATCCTTGTCATCTGTGACAAAAATTACTCCTCTGTCTGTATAAATGCTCAATTCGATTAGTTATCCAAAATAAATATGGACTGGAAGACGAAATGGGAAAAAACTTGCAAACGAAGAGAAAATAAAAAAAATTTTCACGACCTAGGTACACCGTTAGGTCCTGATGAATACGTGCACCATGTGCCATCAAGCTGTGTTCATTAGTTTGGGAGATATTCTTCGGTCATGGGAGATATTCCTTAGTTGGGAGATATTCCTTAGAGAGCGGCCGAAAGTCCGGCCGTATAATTGTCCGACACGTTTTCTTGAAAGGAAATTTTGCTACATCATGAGCCTGTACTTTCTGCTAGCGCGCAAAGTAGCAGGGGTAATTATAATTTCAAGTTCATACTTTGGATATAACTTGTGCTAAATAGTGGCTTCTATTTTTAGAGGATCAATGAATATTTATCTGCACTAATTCTGAGTGCCGGTAAGTTTGTTTAATTTAATTATAATTCAGCGTTTTCCTCACACAAGTTTGATACAGAGTGTGCAACTTAATTTACGAATCTCTTTTGGAGTGTGAGTATCAGATATAAATAACGTTAAAGCCTGGATGGAGCTTTACAGCATATTGATAACATCCAACTTTGCTTCAGGGCACTTATGTTTAAAATTGTTTCAATTATATACTCACCATACACTTTTACGATGTTTCCGACGTTGCGGATGTTTATCCTGTTATGCAAAGCAGGCACTGTTCTCAGCGTTAGTTTCGGGGATTGGACAACGGACGTGTGTAAGTTTTTCAGCCCATTTATGGACGTCTGACGACGAGTAGTTAATTGAGATTATTGCATTGATAGTTGAATTTTTCATTGCATTAATAGTTGAATCCGTCAAATTACACAAAAAACGGATAAAATGCCCAAACGCAGGAAAAAGGAACAAGGTGAT